CAGGGATCCCTGGAAGACCGTCAGGCCCGAGCCGTCCAGGGGGCCCTCGAGCTCCAGTGGGGCCTGTCTTGCCTGGGGGCCCATCAGGACCAGCATCTCCCTGAAATGGACGGGGTGCAGAAGGCAGTCTCAGGAGACTGCCTGCTGCCAGCTGGAGCCTCACAGGGGAGTGCTCTGGTCTGGCAGCACGAGGACCCTTCCCAAGGGGGTACTCACTTTGGCTCCTTTCTCTCCCTCTTTGCCTTCTGGACCCATGCGGCCGGGGGAACCCTGAGGAAGGAAAGTGTGAGGGTTGGTGTGGAACCCCAGGTTTATATTAAGAGTGGGTGTGTGGGCTGGCTAGGTGGCAAGGCAGGTCAGACATTGCCTGAGACTCACATGGTAGAAGGAGAGACTGGACTTCCCATAAACTGTCCTCAGACTCCACATATAACTCTGTGGCACATTCACACACACACACACACACGCACACACACGCACACACACACACACTAAATAGCAAATAAGTAAGCAAATTAATTAATATAGCTCCAAAAATTATAAGCGTGGGGTATTGTGGAGAGGGGGTTCTCGCATGGCCTAACTTAAGGTTGATGTGAGACCCGTGGGCAGTAGATCATTGCTTACCCTCTTACCAGGGAGCCCACGGGCCCCAGGCTCCCCTGAAGCTCCAGGTGGCCCCTGTCCAGTCAAGAGAAGGCACAACATCAACTCACAGCTGACAATCATGGGGTCCACAGATGCCATAGGCACCCCACTCTCCCATCACCAGATCTATACCATCCCAAATTCCCCACTCACCGGTGCCCCAACATCACCAGCATCTCCCTTCTCCCCTGGGGGGCCATCGATTCCCTAGGGAGGGGAGACAGTGGGAGAGTCTTGGGTAGATGTAGTCGAGGTGGGACTGGAGAGGCAGTTGGTCATTCGTGCCTCTAAGCTTGTCCAGGTTTATGGGGGATGGGGAAGATGGAGACACATTTAGGGAACATATTGGGCTGCGGGGAGAACTTTCACCCACCGGAACACCAGGATCTCCTGGGGGTCCTAGATCTCCAGGGAGTCCTGTGGGACCCTAGAAGAGAAAATGCTTACTGATCACATCTCAGAATGAGCAAGGAGTCATTCCTTCACCCCCTGCAGGTGATGTCCCCAGAGCAGCTGCAGCGGACATGCTACAAACAAACCATGAAATGAAGGCAGTAAAGTGTTTGCTGCATGCATAAGAGACGAGGCGTGGGGCCAGCAGAAGGGCTCTGCTTCTCCATTATATTTCCATGTTTTGTTCATTCATTCATTCATTCATTCATTCATTCATTGTTTTATCTATTCATTCAGCCTTTATCTGGGTGGCTCAGAGAATTAGAAAACAGGCAGAGAAGGGGCTGCCGAGACAGCTCAGTGTTTGACAGCATCAGCTGCTCTCCAGAGGAACAGGGTTCCATTCCCAGCACCCACAGGTTGGCTCATGCCCAGCGACAACCTCTTCTGACCTGTGCACACATGGTGCACAGACAGACGTGTTGGCAAAACTCCCATACACATAAAATGTTTTGAAAAAGAAAAATAAAAACGAGTAGGAGAAGGGACGCCGGCCTATCTCTGGGATAAGACTTTAACATGCTAAGGCCTCACAGCCTCTGTTCTGTCTCCTCCAGGACTTACCGTGCTCCCCTTAGCGCCGTCCTCTCCAGGAGGTCCCTTCTTGCCTGGAGGTCCAGCAGCCCCTGACGGACCCGAGTCCCCCTTTTCGCCTATTTCGCCTTTGGGCCCCTTTGTAGAAGCACAAGTCAGAAGTGAAAGCCCAGAGTGCCATGGTCTCCTCAGGGAGCAATGAGGAGGGCATCTTGGAGAAGGACACCTGCCTTGAAGCCCAGTGACCTGGGTGCAGTCCCCAGAACCCACAGTAGAAGAGAACTGACCTCCACATATGTGCTAACTATATGTAATAACTATAATATATACATTTTTAAAGATTAGCAGGGCCGGAAGGTGTCCCCGTGTTTAAGAGCACATACTACTGTTGCAGAGGACCCAAAATTAGCTCCTAGCACCCACGTCCGGGAGCTCACAACCACCTTTCACTCCAGCTGCAGGGGAATCTGATGCCAGAGAACTAGAACTATCTGAGCCAGGGACGATGACCTGGTCAGCTATTGGTCTACCCTAGTCCCTGTGCTGCCCCTGGGTGCGTTAGATAATAGTCCCCCTTTGGGCAACTCTTCCCCCAATTCAAGGCTTGTCACTTGGGTTTAAGCCCCTAGCTGTCTCCTCAGACCTGCACCCTTGCACAGTGGGCAAGTTATATAGGCAAGTACATAGACTCCCTGATATCTTCTGGGAGTGTGGGGCGTCTTTCATCAAGATAACCAGAGGGAGATGTCTGGGGCCGGGGTGCTCTAAGAACCGCCTGGAAGTCATGGTAGCCTGACATGCTTGCTCAAGGTCAGCAGTTCCCCGTGTACACGGCAATGTTCTATAGAGACTCACAGGGATGCCGGGAACTCCTGGGGGTCCTGTGTCTCCAGTATCCCCTGGTTCACCCTGTGAAAGGCAAAGAAAACAGGAAGCGATCGTCCCACTGACAGGCAGGGAGGAGGGTCCCCGTGCAGCCTTGTCCCCGCCATCCCGGGCAGGCTCAAGCTCTTTTCTTACCTTCTCACCCACAGCACCAGGCTGCCCCACTCCTCCAGGCAGCCCTGGGGAGCCCTGGAGATACAATGGGAGTGTGAGCCCCTAGAAGTGTGGCAGACCCATAGAGACATTCTGCCCGTCCCAGAATTCTCACCTCTGATCCACTGGGCCCAGGTGGACCCCGAGGGCCTGGAGCTCCATGGGGACCCTGTCAAAAAACCAAACAGTGAGCAGTGAACCCCATGATTCCACCAGAAAGGTTACAGTAGCCACAAACAGCCTATATGATGTATGTAACCCTTAAGATGACAGTGTACCCTGCTGTGAGCTTCCAGATGGATCAGTGCTCACTGCCACCCCTCCCCCACCTCCCATACCCCCCAGGAAGTCCATACCATGGATCCCACATCTCCAACCTCGCCCTTCTCCCCAGGAGGGCCTGGCAGTCCCTGTGAAACAAAGAGTCAAACTGTAGTACAGACAGCTGGTGAGATGGCCTATTTGGTCAAGCACCCCCTGAACAAGTGAGCAGGCCTGAATTAGGATCCCTAGAGGCCAGACACAGCAGAGCTTGCCTATAACCCCAGTGCAGAGACGGGAGGACCCCTGGAGTTTGTTGGAGACCAGTGGCCAAGGAAAGACATAGTCTCAAAAATAAGGTAAGGAGGGCCGTTGAAAGGGCTCAGTAGGTAAAGGTCTTGCCACCAAGCCTGATGACTGCGTTTGATCCCTGAGACCCACATGGTGGAAGGAGAACTAACTCCTGCAAGTTGTCCTCTGACCTCCACCCACATGTGCCATAGCATGAATAAGCATGTGAGCACACACACACACACAAAATGCTAAAACAAAGGGAGAACAATAGAGGAAACACACAGGGTCAGCCTCCTCCCCCACACGTACATGCACATATGCCAACCTCCATATTTTAATTTTTTTTTTTGTTTGTTTGTTTTGAGACAGGGTTTCTCTGTAGTTTTGGAGCTTGCCCTGGAGCTAGCTCTTGTAGACCAGGCTGGCCTCGAACTCACAGAGATCCACCTGCCTCTGCCTCCTGAGTTCTGGGGTTAAAGGCCTGCGCCATTACATCCAGTCCTCTTGAGCTCTTCATCTTTATAAATCACCAAGACTCAGAGATAGCACACACAAACACACCACACACAAACACACCACACACAAAGACTCAGGGACAGCACACACAAACACACCACACACAAAGACTCAGGGACAGCACACACGAACACACCACACACAAAGACTCAGGGACAGCACACACAAACACACCACACACAAAGACTCAGGGACAGCACACACAAACACACCACACACAAAGACTGGAGCCCGGGGTGAGGAAGCAAACACCTACCTGCAGACCTGGAGGACCAATTACACCTACAAAGCCTCGAACTCCATCATCTCCCTTTTGCCCAAAGAGGCCAGGGGGTCCCCGGCGACCCTGAGCCCCATCAGCACCCTGTAAAGAAGATGGGGACAAACATGTTAGTGTTCAAATCAAAGGTTGCAGACAGGGTCAAAGGTTAGGACAGAGGCTAGGGTTTGGAGTCAAGTTTGGTGAGTCAGGTTTTAGTTTGATGTGGAGCTCAGGCTGAGGCTCAAAGCTGGAGGAATGAAGTACCAGGTGACATTTTAAGTTAGTGACATGCTATATCAGAACTGTGGTTCGGGTACAGTTATGATCAAGGTTCATAGGAGGTTGAGATGAACTTTAGGCATAGATGGAAGTTGTGACCTATAAGTTTGGTGACACTCTGACCTGAACCAGCAGGTCATTCTTCAGTGACAGGGTTCCTAAGAGGGAGGTGGCCAGGCAATGAGAAGATGATAGAGAACTGGAATTGGGGTCTTGCGCGAGCTGTCTTATGCTAAGCATACTTATTAGGAAATACAGCTCAAGCAGGAAATGGTGGCACACACCTTTAACTCAAGCATTCAGGAGGCAAAGGTAGGCCGATCTCTGTAAGTTCAAGGCCAGCCTGGTCTACAGAGAGTTTCAGGACAGTCAGGGCTGATACACAGAGAAACCCTATCCCAAAAAACCAAAAAGGACAAAAAAAAAAAGGGGGGGGGAGGGTGGCTGTGGTCATGTCTCTTCACAGTAATAGAAAACTTGATTAGAACATATGCTGGAGATAGGGTCCTATGAAAGTATGCAGATCAGATGCAGTCACGAGGGTGGTGCCCCACAATGCCGTACTAGTGGCTGTATAAGACCCAAGTTCACAAACGTGCTAATAACACACTATGTCACTATGTTGCAATGAAGCAGGAAGACCCTGGCCAGATGCCAGCACCACTGTTAGGGATTTCCCAGCCTCCAGTACCGTGAGTCACTCACATACAACATTTAGCCTGGGTGATTTGTAGCAGTATCGGAAAATTAACTACGGCAAGGCTGGAGTCTAACTCAAAGTTCAAGTTCCCATCTGAGGCTGGCATTGGAGTGAGGAGACCAGGGATAAGCTAGGAGTTGCATGATTTGGGTATTTGGATGAAGATCAGAGCAGAAAACAGAGAGTATGGGCTGAGATCGGATTCAGGGTCAGAGTTGAGTTCACCGTGGGTGTTGGCATTGAGAGGAGACCAAGGGTGGGCAAGGATGCTGGGATTTTATTCAGAAGAGTGGCACACTGTCTTCACTTCTAGGACCCAGGGTATAGTCGCCAAGCTGGGAGCACTCACCGGAGGTCCTGGATGGCCTGCTGGACCCCTTATCCCTATTGGTCCGGGAGGGCCCTGAAGCGGGAAACAAAATCAAAAATTCTATCAGAGCCGAGCCTGGTAGTACAGGCCTGTGACCCCAGCACTCGGGAGAATCAGGAGTCAAGCCACATAGCAAGTTTGAAGCTAGCCTGGGTTACACATGAACTCTTTTATCTAAAAAAAAAAGGAGAAAAAAAAAGGAAATTAAAACAAACCTCACCCTGGGATGGAGTGGAACCAGTTGGTGCTGGGAATGGGGAAAGTGGCTGGCTACAGGCCATGGTAGATTCTCACCGTGGAGGGATAGGAGATTTTGAGGCCCACAGGTGCCTTTCTCTACATTTTTATTTTATTTATGTATTTTGTATATGTGTGTACATGTGTGCACCAGCTTCTGAGAGTCAATTCTTTTCTCCCACTGCAAAGGTCCTGGGGATGGAACGCAGATCCTCGGGCTTAGCAGCAGCTTTATCCACTGAACCTTGTCACCATCCCTAGAGAGGTCTTTCTCACTCTCCTGTGCTCTCGGGGCTCAAACAATGCTCAGATAGGGACCTTTGCACTTTCAGCCTTAGTGAGATAGGTACCAAAACTCTGAGGGAAGCAGAGAGCCAAGGCCACCCCATATCTCCTCCCATGAACACACCCTCCCTGGGGACCCCCCACTTACCGCATCTCCTTTATCCCCTTTGCTTCCCTTATGACCAGGCATCCCTACTTCTCCCTGTAAGATAAATACATTAGGAAGTGTCCAGCGCCCATCAGATCCACCCCTCTCTGTACTGTCCCTCTCCCTGGTGCCCTCACCTTGTCTCCTTCCTCTCCAGAAGGCCCTGCAGCTCCAGGGGGTCCTTGAAGCCCTGGCAGGCCTGGGATACCATCTTTGCCAGTGGGACCAGGGGCACCTCGTTCTCCCTGATGGAAGGAAAGAAAAGAGAGAAGTTAGGAGCAGGTGACACAGGGAAGGATATCTGTATAGAAAGTTGTTTAAAACGAAACTATCCATCCTGAAGAGAGCTCCTTAAGTCTCAGGATACAAACAACACACAAGTCTCAGAAAGTTCCTAAAACTTACAAGATTCACCAGGTCCCCTCCTCAAGGCTGTAGAAGCAGTTAACAACTGCCAGAGATAGTCTTTGGCCTGTCATGCTGCTTGAAAGTTATACGGGGAGCTCCAGGAATATAGTTTTTCTGAGCCATGAGCCAGGCTGGGATGGTCATTCAGTGATACAGCTACCTTTGAGTCAGCCATATTTTGTAAGTCACTCCTCACCCATGGTCCTGTTAGTAATCCCAATAAACTCACAGCTTCATTAAGCTGGACTTGGGAAAGATCATTTTAAGAATTATATTTTTTTAAGATTTACTTTTTTTTTTTTTTGGTTTTTTCGAGACAGGGTTTCTCTGTGGTTTTGGAGCCTGTCCTGGAACTAGTTCTTGTAGACCAGGCTGGTCTCGAACTCACAGAGATCCACCTGCCTCTGCCTCCCAAGTGCTGGGATTAAAGGCCTGCGCCACCACCGCCCGGCCTTTAAGATTTACTTTATCTTTAATTATGTATATATGTATGTGGATGTGAATGGGTAGGTATGTGCATATGAGCACAATTGCCCATAGAGGCCAGAAGAGGGTGACAGACAGATCACCTGGAGTTGGAGTTACAGGCAGCTGTGAGCCCACCAATATGGATACTGGGAATGGATCTCAGGTACTCTGCAAAAGCAGTAAGTACTCTTACTCACTGAGTCATCTTTTCTCCAGCCCACAGAAATAGAAATTCATTGGTCAGCTGTTGATGTCTTTTCTAGAGTGAGTAGATGCTTGCTCACATCTCCCCAGAAAAAGTCACCCATCTAACAGACACTTACCGGAGACCCCTTCTCACCAGCAGGACCAATAGGGCCTTGCCCACCACTCTGGCCAGGAAGTCCAATGCCACCAGAAGGGCCCACAGGCCCACGCTCACCCGGGGAGCCCTGGAAAAGGAGTGGAGGGCCAGGGATGACTACAACGACACGGCTCTTGACACCAGTGTTACATCTTATACACAGGCAGAGGGCATCCTTGAGCACCTAAGGGATGACGCTCTCCACAAACCTCAACGGCTCTCACCTTCCTCGGCTGAGGACCACAAAGCCCAAAATGAACTGCCTACCTGCTTGCCCCCATCTTGTCCTCACTCACTCAGGCGGAGCTACACAGACCCCGCTGTTCCTCACACCCCAGGGCCTTTGCACATGCTGTTGTTTCTGCCTAGAAACCCTCCTCTGGGAATCACAGGGCTCCATGCTCATCTCCTCCGGGTCTTGGCCCCTCAGGGATGCCTCTCCCAACCAGCCTGCTGAAGATGCTCTTCCCAACACTCCATGAACTCTGTTCCTTCTCATGTTTGTTCCTTTTCCGTTTCTCTTCCCTTTCCTTTCTCTCTCCTCCCTCCTTCCTTTCTTTCCCTTTAGCATGGCCTTAGTAAGTAGACCAGGCTAGCCTCAAACTCCCATTGTCTCAGCCTCACATTCCAGGGGACATTCTGCACCACCACATGCAGTCCATAGGATATTTTTCTCTTTCCATGCATGTTTGTGTGTGTGTGTGTGTGCATATGGACACATGTGTGGGGGCATCTGAACATGTGTGCATATGGAGGCCTGAAGTTGGTGTCAGGGCTCATCCTCGATCTTCCACCATGTCCACTGAGGCAGGGTCTCTCAGTCAAACCCAGAGCTCGCTAACAAGGCTAGTCCCACTATCAAGGCCAGTCCCGCTAACAAGGCCAGTCCCGCTAACTCTCTGGCTTCCCAGGATGGAATTACAGGTGGGCCGCCCTGCCCACCTTCATTCCCTCAGGCGCTAAGGCTCTAAACTCAGATCCTCAAGCTTGTGTGACAAGGACTTTACCCAGTGAGCCCAAACCAGCCCTATGACAGCTGCTTCAGAGGAGGAAACCTCGGCTCTAAAGATGCAGCCCTCTCCACAGCCAGTGCTCTTATACTTACATTGGCCCCAACAGGGCCCGGTGGACCCTTGTCACCCTTCAAACCAACGGGTCCCTGGGGAAAGAAATGACCAGTCAGAAAATCTCCCAGGCACCCCAAGGGCTTGCCTTCACTTTGGGGAACCCTCATTATCCCTAGACCTATCAAAGATAGGCCCTGAGTTCTATAGATCTGCCCACTACCATATCTTTGTGTGTGTGTGTGTGTGTGTGTGTGTGTGTGTGTGTGTGTGTGTGTGTTGTGTGTGCTCCCACCTGCCTGGACACACTTGTCAAGATCAGAGGACAAGCAGCAAGAGTGAGCTCTCTCCTTCTGTAACGTGGGTCCTGGGAGCAAGCTCAGTTCACCAGCCCTGGCAGCCTTGTCACCTACTGAGTCATCTCACCGGCCACCACTAACACTCTTTATCCAGGCCCCCTCCAGTTTGCCACCCCGGTAGCCACTCTTGGAGAAGGCTCCTTTCCTCTACCCCTCAGCACCACACTCCAATGGACTCTCCAAAGATACTCACTGGGTCGCCGGGAGCTCCTTGGGAGCCAGGAAAGCCCATGGGCCCAGGTGGGCCCTCCTTCCCAGGGGACCCCAGGGATCCTAGCTCACCCTGCAGACAGCCAAAGAAGAGAAGTTAGCCTCAGAAATGGGATATCTCTCCAGACTCTGGGCCCCTCCCCAAGTAACTAATTTCCAGCCACTCCTCCCACGTGAGGCCCAGGGTTTGGGCAGTTTATCCAGGATCTCACCTTGGCCCCTTCTCTGCCTTCTATGCCTGGAATACCTTGTTCACCAGGAGGTCCAGGGGGACCTGGGGGGCCCCTCTCGCCGAGAGGACCCACGTCCCCTACCTTTCCCTGGAAACAAGCAAGGGACATCTTGAGCAGCCTGAGGGTGGAGCGTACATCAGACCACCAGCTCCATGGGTTCCTTGGTTGATACAAAATGGGGAAAGGCTGGTGGGGTCCATTCTGACCTGAGGACCAAGGACACCAGCTGGTCCAGGGGGCCCTGTATGACCTTGGAAGCCCTAAGGAGAGAAACGGAAAAGGGTATCACGTGGGAGAAAGAAAAGGAGAGTCAAGGCCCTGGGGAGACAGCTCAGTTTGTAAAATGCCCCATGGAGCAGAAGACAGTTCAGCTTCCCAGCATCCATGCAGAGTCATGCGTGCTGTGACACACACCTCATCCCAGTGCCGGCGAAGTGGAGACCAGTGGCTTCCTGGGGCTCACTGGAAAGCCAGTCTACCCTAACCAGCGAGCCCCACGTGCCAGTGAGAGGTCCTTCCTCAAAAACTACGACGGGAGCCAGGAAGATGGCCGAGTGAGTGAGAGCTCTTACTTGTCAAGCAAGAGAACCCAGCACCCATGTCAGAGCCATGCACAGCTCTCACGCTCGTAACCCCAGCACTGTAGCGTGTAGGTGGGTAGGTCTTGGAAATTGTTAGTCAGCCAGCCTAGCCAAAATGGCAAGCTTCAGGCTCGGTGCTTAAAGATAAGATGGAGAGGGATGGAGGAAGATACCGGGTGTCCTTTTCTGGTCTCTACGTGTTCACGCGCATGCACCGCCCCCTCCATACACATGGGCCCAACACAGTTGGAAGTCAGAGGTCGATGGCCACTTACCAATTCTCCTCTTTGCCCAGGGTGTCCAGGTACCCCATCTTTCCCCTGAGGGCCCTGGGGAACAAAGTAAGTGAAAATGAAGATTTAGAACTGGAGCCAAGCCACCCTGCACCCTTCCCCACTGACTCAGAGTCAGGGTGACATCACTCACTGGGGGGCCCTTTGGTCCAGGGAATCCTGGGGGACCTTGCAGACCGGGGAGACCCTGAAATGGAACCAAAAATCATTACGTCATCTCTCCTGAGTGTCTTGCATCTAAATAACCTTAAAAGTCAGTATAGTGCTGGCAAGGTGGCTCAGTGGGTCAAGGTGCATTTGCTCAGATAAAGCTATGACCTGCGCTCCATCCCCAGATCCCGCAGGTGGATGGAGGGAACCAACTCCTTTGAGTTGCCCTCTGACCTCCACAGTCACACAAACAGAGGGAGAGTTTCGTTCGCTTTTTTCCTTTAAAGTCAGCAATACTGAGCAGCTGCAGCATGCCAGGAATGGTGCTGAGTACTTGCTCGTGGTATACCATCTCAGTCAGCACCACAGCCCACCAAGGCGGGGCCATGGTTACCGCATTTTATAAAAGAGGAAACTGAAGCAAAGAAAAGTTAAGCAAGTTTTTCAAGGTCACACAGCAAGCAAGTGGGACAGCTGGGAATCGAACTCATAGATCTCTGGCCTTGGAGGAGGCTGACTTCGTTCATAGACACACACGCTGCTCAGAATCACACTCACTCACACACATGCTGCTCAGAATCACACTCACACTGCTCAGAATCACACTCACACTCACACACACACACACACACACACACACTTACCTTTTCTCCAGGGGCCCCAGGAGACCCGTTTTGACCCACATCACCCTAAAACAGAATAAATAATCTTCAAGACCAGAACACACTTAACTGGGAGGATTTGGCAGGGAGTTAGCCTGAGATAGACCAAAGGCCCTTAATCGCTCCCATACCTTGGGGCCAGGCTGGCCTGTGGCCCCTGGTTGTCCCCGGTCTCCTCGAGGGCCCTGCATAAAAAGAAATTTTTAAAACGAAAAAAAAAAAAAAAGCAAAGAAGAGAAGTGAGAAGATGGGTAGGTCTGAGAGAAGACACCACACAGAGGCCCCTTCCTCCAGAATCCATCCGAGTCCACCAGCAACAGGGACAGCGCCCAACCTTTTCCCTACCCTCTCATGACTTCGCTACCCCATCTCCCCTCAGACCTGCTCCCCTGTGTAGAGCAGGCATCGCTTCCTTACCGGCACACCGCGCTCTCCTTCCTCTCCTGGCTGCCCTGCTTTGCCCTGGAAAGCAAGTCAAATCAGAAAGCTTTGAGCTTCGGGAGATACACAGGCACATGTGTGTTCACGGGTGGGAACAAGCACACGTGTGTTCACAGGTGGGATGTATATATACAAGGTTCTCTGCAAAGGAAAACTGCATGTGGGGAGTGAAATCAGTCCAAAGGAGAAACATATGCTGTAGGCAGCAATGCTGGAGGGGCGGAGCCATCTAAGCCCTTTAAAACAGAAGCCCGGGTTCCAGACACAGAGCCACAGAATTCGGTGCTTGCTCTGCTGGATCCCAGCATCTCCTGACCGTGCTCCCATTCCTCCCCTTGGAATGAGAATTCTTTCCATGGCATTGTAATTTGCTTTTGTATTTGACTTTTTGGTTTGGGTTTTTTTGTTTGTTTGTTTTTGGAAGGGTGGGTTCAAGACAGGGTTTCTCTTGTTACAGCTCTGACTGTCCTGGAACTCACTTTGTAGATCAGGTTGGCCTCAAACTCACAGAAATCCACCTGCCTCTATCTCCTGAGTGCTGGGATTAAAGGACTGCACCACCACCACCTGGCTTGATTTGGCTTTGAAGACATTATCAGTTTGAAAGACCAGAAAGTTTTCCAAGTTGATTATATTTTACATTCAGAAATAAGCATGAGACTCTGGGAACAGGAAGTGGGAAGTTATGGTTTTAAATTGATGTGTTAGTGTGTCCAGTTGACAATGGGTGTAGCTGTGCCAATTAGGTTTTCTTTTTGTAAAATGGGGGGGGGGTAGGTGTGTATGGTGTGTATGGGTGTGTGTGTGCTGTGTGTGGGGTGCGTATGTGTGATGTGGGGGGCGTGAGGGGTGGTACATGGGTGTGGTATGTGTGTATGGGTGTATGGGTGTGTGCTGTGGGGGGGGGGGTGTATGAGTAGGGTGGTGCATGAAAGTGCAGGTGTTCCCAGAGCCCAGAAGAGGGCATCAGATGCCTAGGAGCCAGAGCTACAGATGAATGGGAACCACTTGAAGGGACGCCTAGCACCAAACTCCAGTCCTCTTAACTGAGCCATCTCTCCAGCCTTGTGGTGGCTAGTGTGAACTGTCAGCTTGGGGCACTCTAGAACCAGCCTGGGAAAGAGTCTCAGTGAGGGAGTGTCTAGATCAGGCTAGCCCGTGGGAGTGTCTTGAATACCTTGAATGATAGAGGAAGACTTACCCTACCAAGCAGAAACTGTACAGACTATGTACAGTACAGACTACAGTAAAAAACCTTCCCATACCCTCTGGATCACAACTCACCCTTTTGCCCTTCTCCCCCAGTGGTCCCAGGGGTCCAGGAAATCCAACAGATCCCTAAAGAGAGAGAATTCAACATGAGACTCTAGGATTAGTGAGCATCGGCAGAATCGGTCTGACTCCATCCTTTGCTTTCTTGCATAGCCTCCAACTCCAGCCTTCCCAGAGGGGCCTCCGCCTCCTCCCCACCTCAGCAGCCACACTGCTCCCTCCAAATTCCCCAGCTGTGCCAGCACGTTTCTGCCCAGAACCTTTGCACACGTCCCTTCTTCCACCTTAAATGCTCTTCCATTGGGTCTACACAAAGCCAGTCACTTACCATTTATAATTTCTGTGTACTTGTGTGTGTGATGTGTGTGTATGAGTGTGTGCAGGTGCACATATAGAAGTCACACAAGAGTGTCAGGTGTGTATGTGTGTGATGTGTGTATGAGTGTGTGCGGGTGCACATATAGAAGTCACACAAGAGTGTCAGG